GATGACTTGAACTAAAAATAAATCAACTAATCTAAACTAAGTATATATAGAATTTAAATGACAATCATCAACATGACCTTCCTCAGTCCTGAAATATTTTACCAGCCTTTCAAGATGAAATCAAAGTCAAGATTTAGAGATAATACCCCATAAGATCTTGAGACAAATCAAATAATTATGCAAAAAGTATTTACAGTATCTCTGTGGAGTCTCTTTTTGGACTATTCTGTTTCTTTATAATCTTTATATACACATCAGAATATACTTTGCTATACCAATCCACACCACCGTTTTCTCCTTTCTTAATACTCTAGTAACAGTTAAATTCTGCACCACAGTGCAGGTTCTGAAGTTACCACAGTTTATTTACACTGGTATGTTTGCTGAATCCTTCTTGTCTCTCAGACTAACCCTTCAGCAAGCAAACACCATGTCCTTGACCTCGACCTCTCTATTCATTCCTAGTGCAGATTTCCATTTCCCTGGTACCTGGCAGTTTGGTGACACCACAACACTCAAGCATTGAATAACTGATGGTTAAGAAAAGAAAAAGAGATGAAAATTGAAAGTAGGAATGACTCCCCTTTTATTTAGTTTGCCAGATCTTATAATGTATTCTGCAGTCATTCTCTTTCTCACACTCTATTTTAAGTCCTTATTTTTTGACACCAGGACTGTTTACCAGGTTTCTAAATATTTTCTGTCTCTATTTCTTCCTGCTACTCCCATTAAAATGAATGCATGCTTTTCTCCAAGCAAAAATCTAGCCTTTCAAGATCCCAATCAAGTTTCCAGACCATGCAAACCATAATGGCCTCTTCTTTCTTACAACATATTTTTCTCTTTTATTGTATATCTCATTAAAAACTTAGTCAAGCCCTGGCTGGTGTGACTCAGTGGACTGAGTGCTGGCCTGGGAACCAACTGGGTTGCTGGTCCGATTTCCAGTCTGGTTTCCAGTCATGCTTGGGTTTCAGGTCAGGTCCCCAGTAGGGGGCCCTCAAGAGGCAACCACACACTGATGTTTCCTTTCCTCCCTCTCTCCCTTCCCCTCTCTGTAAAAGTAGATGAATAAAATCTTTAAAAAATTGTACTCGAATGTGATATAACTTATACTTTCTCCCATATGTATTTTGAATCTTGAACACTTTTTACTTATGTGTTTTACCAGATGGCACCTAGCGTGCCCCTTTACTTTAGTATACATCCTGTAAATATTTGTTGGTTTGATACATTAGCTTGACAGGAAAACTGAATATTTAACCTCGTATTGAATATACTACATAAAGAACATCTTTTTGGTAGACTTAAGTAGAAAAATAAACTTAATCTCAAAGAGAACTGTGATTTATATGGAGCAATCTTTAGTCTGAGCAAATAAGATGGTATCAAGGTTTGTGGATCAACATTATGAGACGAGATAGTCAATTTTTATTGAGAGAAAATTTTGCTATATCACTGTAATTAGGGACAAATCAGAGATTAATGATGCATTATATTCTGGGGCTTTAACAGATAAGCATCAAGAAATTATTTTCTCAATGTTAAATGGTTTGCAAAATACTTTCTATGCTTCGCTCCATACATAGAAAATAACAGAAACTGGGTCTGCTATGTAAAAAAATTAATATTTATTCTAAAATATAAATTGTTGAATTATAGGAATATTTCATATAGTCCAAAAGAGCACATAGTCTGTTTCTACTAATTAGCTTCTTTATGAAAGCCTTCCTGACAATTACAGGGTAACATCACTGGTCAATGCTTCAGGTGCTTTTCATTAAAGGTACAGTGTCATTACCAGGTGAACTGCTTCATATAAAAGCACTTGCCTCAAAGCTCTATAATGGAAGGTTAAATGCAATACTTAATTACTAATTTCAACCCGTAGTACTGATATTTTGTAGGGCAGGCATTTTCAAAGGAACCAAGTATAGTCTGTTGGTCCCTGCTTCTCTGATTATAGAATTTGGTGGTGAAGGCACTGGTCCGATTGTTTTTCTAATGAATAAAATACTAAAAACTTTAAAAATAAAAATAGTTATCCTACCAATCAATATAAAAGATATACTAGACATTTCTATTAAACTCATACACAAAATCACTTAGTTCTAATAACTTTAATCTGGATGACGCATACTTTTAAATTGGTAGTCAGCCTTCATGAAATTGCTGCAGATGAAGCTCCAAGAGAAAAGGGTCTTTGAAATTTTCATGGCTTATTTCCTACCTCGGCATCATGCTGACATGCACACAAAGCAGATGATTAATAAAATACTTGATGACAACCCAGGATACTCCTGTGAGTTCTTTACATATTGATCATTAAATATATATATATATATATATATATATATATACACACACACATATATATGTATATATATGTATGTATATGTATGTATTCAAATTCCTCACAGGTGCCCTGATTTTCTTCAGGGCGTGCTGCATGTTACCCTTGCATGTGTCCTCCAGAATAACTGCAACTTTGCTCACTCTTGATTTGTTAATATTTAAATATTTTTTGGTAAAAGGACACTAAAAGGAACCTTGGAATAAATATAAAAGGTTGCATCTAAAATACCTATTCCTAAAGATTTGCTTCTTATTATGATGTTAATTGCCAGCTTCTGATTTTAAAATGTATTTTATATATATATTTTTTATATTGAGCATCCATTTGATTGGAAAATAAGACATTGCATGTTAAGCAAATAGTAGTCTAGAAAAAAATATACAAATAATTGTCCACTGAATTAATAATGCCTGATTTGAATGACTAGTATTCAAATTTTATATTAACATGCCACAAAAAGTCAGCGACTGTAACTTCCTTGAACTATACCTAATACACAGTATCTGGTATGCACACAGTTAAATTTAATCACATAAGCTCTAATACAATAGGGAGATATGGAAATTTTTAAAAACATAAAATATTTACCCCCATGCATTAATGCATTAGAAAACTAGGCTCTGATTATCTGTGCTTGGGAAAATGCAAACCATACTTCCCTTTTAGAGACGCATTATAAATATTAATATAATAAAGCCCCAGTATAGAATTTTTAACATAGCTTAATTTAAACTTTCTCAAACTAACTCGAAAGTGGTCTTCCTCTCCCTCCCGCCTCCTGCCCCCGTAGGTCATTTGTTAACACTCTCTAGAATGGCATTCCTAAAGATAGCAGTTTGGAAAGTGTGGAAAGAGTAAAAAAGTTACTAAATTAAAATAAGTTTAAAGCATAAACTGGTGAAACACAGCCAGGCTTCAAGAGGCAATTGTCACCCTATCATAATAATAAAATGTATCATTTTATATGTCGAGGTGCCCTACTCAGATGACAGCATCCCAGGGACAAGGCTTACACCTCACCCTACTTTGCGTCATTTATGGCGCCCACTGCCATGACTTCCTCTCAGTAAAGAGGGAGTGATTCATGTGCATTTCAGGAAATTCACCAATTGACTTTTCTGTAATTCTACCGAGGCTATAGTTATTTTTACAAGTACATTTCTACCAGGATTTCAGTAAATGTAATAAGGGATTATCAGGTGCTATGTAATGCTGCATGAAGATTTAAGTTTCTTTCCTTCTGAATTTTTCGTTTCTTCTCATTACAGATGGCAACAGAAGGTATACATTCTCATAATTATAGTGTAAAATTGAGATAACTACCCAGGATATAAATTCAGCAAATATTTATTGAGTGACTACTATTGGCTAGTACTATAACGGGCAGTTATTATTAGTGCTCTTGCCTCTAAATTTGGTCACAGAGCTGTTTTTGTTACCTCTAATTCAGCTACTATTTGGAGAGCACTAAGTATATAAAATAGGCTTGAAATGAGGCTGGGAGATGTAAACTTTTACGTCAGCAAAGGTCCAAATGGCCATCGCAGACATTTGATTCCATAATTGTGAGTCAGTACTAAGGAAAATGTATCTTGATTTAATAATTTAGTTATTTCCTCAAATTATTTCTTCCAAGAAACAAATCCTAGTACTGTAGGAGTTTTTGGATATATTTTTAAAATCACTGTTATTGTGCAAAATGAAAACCTCTTTTTATACTCTTTCTCTATGCTGAGTTATAAATCTACTGCACAAAAAAGTTGTACCTCACAGGGAAAGCACGGAGAAATGAGACTGATGTTTTATGTAATCTCTTCTGCACCAAAGTGTAGAGAGGATAGCAATTGCAGTAAAGTACCTTTATACTTTTAATTTGTACTTTACTTTAAAATAAGGTATTATTTTAATTGAGAATATATACAACCATAAGTAACACTGGTTTAAATGTCTAACTACTGCCTTTGTTTCAATAATGCAGTGCTCACAAAGTTCATCACTTGTATTTTTTCTGTGATAGCTTTGCACTCATGTTACAGACTTGAAAAGAGTAACGCCAGTATCGGAATCCTCGTGAAACCCCATGGTTACTAGACAGGAAAACAAACTTCATTCATCTACATGCTCTCCTAACTGCTGATTTACAGTGCAGAAAGTAGTCCCTGTACTATCTCCCTGTGTGTCCCATGGCCCTCTGCACCTTTCATGAGTTTCAGCTACATAACATCATCAAAGAAATCATCTGGTTCTATTTTCTTTCAGGGAAAAAATGTGTTAATATTCCCTCCCATAGCTTTAAATTTTAACTCTGTTACTTTTGACAAAGCCTTTCCTTTGTTCAAATGCAAGGATCCAGTAAAAAGAGCTTTGACATGTTGTGCCTTTTATGTGTGCATTTTTCTGGTTTCACTGATGTCCTAAGTTTGCAAATGATAACGTGTGCCTTCCAGTCCCCCTGTCAAACGCCAGCGGTACACTGTATCAAGAACAATTTAGGACAGCAGCACATTGACACAACTCTACAGTCCAATAAATACTCGATGGCTTCTTAGAAAACCCACAATTTGGTGAAACAAACGCAAAACACTGCTTTGTTTTCCACTTTGCTTTTCATAAATCTTCCCAGGATACACATTCACTGGCTTACCTGCAGGGTAGCGCTCGATCATGGGCCAGCTGTCCACCTGTAATGTGGCATTGCCACCACTCCTCGTGAAACGGACTACATGGTATTTCCCATCGTTAATGATTGCATTGGACTCTTCGATGGCGATGTCATCTGTCCCAACATTAAATTTAACTCCAATTTTTCCTTGGTGCTGGAAGGAAAGAGGGGAAAATGTTGTATAAAGTTGTACAGATTAGTCAATATTTACTAAGAATTACATACAGGATATTGATCAAGAACATGCTTCAGACAATAGCTGCTTTCCTTCCATTTTTTAATTCTGACAAATTCATGTTGTAGAAGAAAGGTTCTTGACATTTGGGTACATCTGAAGCATCTCTTTTATGGATAATTGATATTCCAACAGACACACTTTCAAGAGAATTGAGCTGCCTTCTTTCCAGGGGTTGCCACAGACAAGGTGCACAGCTGCCTGGGTGAAGGGACATCCTTTCATGTCCTGTATAACACAGCTCCTTTAATCCACTCTTTGTATTTCACTAGAAAAATGAGGCTTGACATTCTCCCTTTTAATAGCTGGTGAAATCAGAGCAATGAAATCTGTTTAGAGACAACTGACAAATTCTCACAATATAGAAAATCATTCTAAAGGGTATGGGCACACAGACAGGCATTTAATGAGTGTACTTTCTTAGTCATTATTCACACACACAAATCATCCAGTGCTAAGAGCCTGAAATTTATTCAATTTTTTTATTTTATAGATGATAAAACCATGACACGGGAAGATGCAGTGACTTGTTCAAGGTCACGTAATTTAATAAATGGGTACTAGAGTTAGAATTCGGTTCCCTCATTGTTAGCTTCTATCTAGGCTAAGATATGGCTATCTAAAATTAACTCCCTTTCTGAATTATGCAAAGCAGTATTACAAATCATTCTAAGCACAAAATCTGTTGTTAACTTTAGGATTGCATGATACAAAGTAACAAAGAAAAACTTGTGTTGGTGCCCTCTGCTTCTGAGAAGCATTCTCTAATGACTGTCTGCTTTCTTCACGAGCTCAGTTCATTTTTAAAACACATGGATTTGCCCTTGTCCACATCCATAACCTCAAACTACCTGTAGTTCACCTTTCGTCAAACCTCAGTTGAGAGGAACTACAAGTGGAAGGGGATTTTAAAAGACATATACTCCATCCACTTCTGTAGAAATTTATATTCAAAACATCGAAACCTGACCATTTGGACCACATCCTTTAGACCTCTTGCCAGATTCTCATAATTGAAAACTAAGTGGCAAGAGTATGGTATCGGCTTACACTGGAAGTTATTACAAGAAAATCTTGTCCAAAACTGCTCTAATTGAAGGGAGGTAATTGAAGGGAGGTACTTGAAGATGCTGTTTGGGGCAGTGCTCACTGTAACCTTCATGTACACGTCCTGTAGCTTTCTGTTTTTCTTTTCCCTGGTTCTTATTTCCCATAAAAGATCTTTTTCTTATAATAAGTTAGTGTGTTTTCTAATATTTTAAAATTTTGATTTTAGGTTTTGACAGACAATATGACTTAAAATATTTCCTTTTTTCACACTCCCTTTTAAACTGAGGTTATTAGGAAACTCACAGTATGAGTGCGTAGGGCAATTTTACTGGCTGCGTAGACTTCTGGCACACTGTTGTCCCTGGACTTCTTTTTATTTCCTACCATATTTCTCATAATCCTTACTTTAAAATACATGCCATTGGAAGGTGAGGCATTTCAGTTTTTGTAGAGTGTATCAGGTGATAAAAAACAGTGGGGTTCCAATAAAACTTAAAACTTATCCAAGGGCCTGTGAAGACTTTTTTTTTTTTTTTGCACAGCTTATTTGTGTGAACACTCATTATCTCCTTGTCCTGGCAGAATTCCTGATTGCTCATTTTCAGTAAGTTATTTAATGTGATATATATTTTTTAACACCTAATATAAATTCCCAGGAAAACTAAGAACTTCTTTAAGAGGTTTGTTGATATCTTAACAAACACTTTCATAGTGTTTTAAGTACTAGCTCTAATACTAACTCTGTTATTTATCATAAGAGCCCCACCAGAAAAGTATTAGTTTATCTCCCTTTGACAGATAAGGAAACTGAAACACAGAGTGGTTAAGTAACTTGGCTGAGGTCACACAGTTAGAAAGAGGAAAGCCGTGATTCGAACCCAGGCAGTCTGGCTCTGTTCCTCATCATCACCTAGGCTGAATGTTGGGAATGCTGGCTCATCCTCACTGCGGTTAGCAGATTCGGTAACTCTAGAAGTTGTTTGCTACCTGTTTTATCATTTCCGGCTAGAGCAGGAGCACTGCAGGACTTCGCATTGTGCCTTGCAGATTAAACCATGCGCATCAACTAGTGTTTAAAATAATCTTATAAATGGCAGTAAGAAACTACTAATTGGATGGGATAGGATGCTAAAACAAATTACTTTTTATCTCAGTTTCAGCTGTAATCTTGAGATCAGTCAAAAATGAGATTGCTGCTTTCATTTTACAAAACAAGGTACGGAGTTGCCTGAGCCAGCCTTAAAAAGGAAAGCACTGAAAACTGCTTTGGGACCTTACATTGGGGACCCATTTCCAACCCATTAAAGAGAAAGAAAGGCCAAGAGAAGATTTATAATTAGGAGAGGATTATCAGGGAGAATTGGGATATGATATGATTTGCAAGTATATCAAAGGTAAAAGGTTACCTTTCCCTTATTTCAAAAGCAGGGAAAAAGAACTTCAGTGAAACAATAAAGTCTGATTCTTGTCTCTTGGAATTTCATGGTAGTGGGTGGCGTAGCCAGTACACTGGGATTTGACTCTTGCCTGGGAAATTTTCAAGGGGAAGGATTGTGACTGGATGATGATCTGATGTCAGGGCAAAGGGATATTACTGCACCAGCAGCCACGTGCGGTGAGACTGTCAGAACAAGGGACAGGTGAGCACTGCCAGTGAAGCAGGGGTTGTAAAGCCAGCGCAGAATTGTGGTCGGTCCTGTCCAAGTGAGCCACTGGGAGAGGTGTGGGGAGTGGGGAAGACAGTTCAACAAAAAGAAGCTGGAATTGCAGTAGTGGGTGCTAGTGGGTAAGGCGAAAATCCTAAATGACCCCCTGAAGGAGGAGCATTTACCCCGCTCAAGGAAACTGCAGGTAAAGAAACACTAGTGATGGGGATAAGAGCATTAAAAAACCCACTGACATGCTTCCTCAAGAGTGTTCCTGAGTCAGTTTAGAGCACAGGCTAAGCCCAGCTACATGGCTACTATTGTAACAGCCAAGTAAGGTCATTTCTGTCTTTTGCCTTTCTGTTTCATCCCTGAAGGAGACAGAGAGGGTGCGGGGCAGGGGCAGGGCGGGGCGGTGAGCAATGACTGTCCTGGGAACAGGAGGAGAAATAATGCTGTCCCCCCACCCAGTGCAAGTGGTGGCTCCAAATCAGCCCAAAGCAGTTGTAATGGATTTAACATCTGTAATAGTTTCAACAGTTAAAAAAAAATACTTCTCATAGCTAAAAGTGAACAGATGAGCCCTGGCTGATATGGCTCAGTGGACTGAGTGCCAGCCTGTGAACCAGCAGGTCGCTATCTATTCCCAGTCTGGGACTCCCGCCCGCATTGCGGGCCAGGTCCCCAGTAGGGGGCGCATGAGAAGCAACCACATCTTGATGTTTCCCTCTCTTTCTCCCACCCTTCCCCTGTTTAAAAATAAACAAATAAAATCTTCAAAAAAAAAACAAAAAACTGAACAGTGACATTTTTACTATTCAAGACTGACCATAGTAGTATTCAAACTTTCCCTGGATTTCACTGGGTCAGAAAGAGATATTCCGCAGAACATGTTTAGACTCCTGTTGTACCCCCTAGGAATCAGATCTTTCAACAGAGTTGAAAAACAGCATAGTTGCCCATTGTTTTAGGATCTCTTCTGTTACAGTCAAGTTTCTTATCCCAGACTGACAAAGAAATTCTCAAAGTTTCCTATCTTTTCTGATACGAATGCTTAGTAGTCAATTTTTTATCAGACTTCTAATCCTTAAGGAGATTCAAGTTCTTTGAATGCAAGCATTATAATGCTAAAGGCACAAAACGTATAAAACTAAAAAAAGTTTCTTTACCTCATCCCTAATTTTTTTCTACAATATGAAATATAAAATGATTATTTTATAGTGTACAGAAATCCCCAGATTTCACAGGAATGCCTTTCTTGAAACACAATAGAACAAACTATTAAGAAACAATGAGGGGTCGTAATGCTTGGAGACCTTCTAACTTTTAAAAGATGTTCATCTCTCCCTGGACATGTTGACTTCCAATATCTTTGATGTGTCATAGATTCAAATTCCAGAGTCACCTAGAACAGAACTGAATACCACCAAAGCCGGCTCGGACAAGGGCAGACCCTATCCTAATTCAGAGGTTATTATCCCACTCAAATCACATCATATCCTTGAAAAAAAATTTAGTCATAAATGATAGCCACAGAGCCAACTTTTTTCTCTCAAAACAAATACATAAAAAATATATGTAAACCACAAAATGTTAATGTCAATCAATATTTAGGACCTAAGTTTATGATTCCATTCAGAAATTGTAAATATTCCCAAAACACATCCCTCCCCATGTTGACAGAATAGAAAATCATTTCAATTGTATAAACAAAAAAAACTTGCTAAACTTTCTTACCAATGGGTAATTACATTTTAAAAGCATTCATTTCAAATTCGTATTCTCTGGGATTAAATGTGATTGTCTCCAGCAAATTCTCATGAATATTGCATTAGCAAAACCAGCAGTAATTTCGCTGGACATGTACTGATCTTTCAGCATTGTATCTTCCTTGAAATGGATAACTGGCTCACAGCATAATTTCAAAAATCTATTATGAGAAAATCAGTAGCAAGGCATTTATAATTTAATGAAGTCTTTCCATGGATTCATTAAATAAATAGAGACAAAGGTAATTATTAATTTTTTCACAAAAGCTCATTTCTGAATAATGATTATGTTATTAAGCCAAGTTAAAAGGAAACACTATGAAAGGCGACACTGGGAAGGAGCTTGAAAGTTCTAGCAAGTGGCGCCCTGGTTTAATGCACCAGTAAATTTCAGCTGCAACCACACATTCACTTAAAATTTAACCAAGATTACGATTTCAGGGTATTTTCAGTA